GAGGAACATTTATAGAACATTTAACCAAACCTTATCTGGTCATCTAACCTCTTGGTGTATTTTCTCGGTAAATAAATGATTATTCACGCCTGTATCTCCCCCTCTACCCTCAGCCTGGCGCTGCACCCAGAGCGCTCCCTGGTGGCGACGGGTCAGGTGGGGAAGGATCCCTATGTGTGTGTGTGGGACTCCTTCACCGTGCAAACCGTCTCCCTTCTGCGGGATGGACACACACACGGCATCGCCTGCCTCGCCTTTAGCGCCGACGGACAGGTGAGACAAACAAACGCTAATCAGCTTTAATATCACACCTGTCTGTTATTCCGTTTAATTTAATCAGAGTTTAATCTGAACTATCATGTTAGAACTGGAGATTATTAAATAATTCAGAGTTTAGATACAAATAAAAAAAAAAAGAGGAAGATCGATGACAAACATTTGTGTTTCTCTCACACAGATGATGTGATGAGAATGTAAATATGAATGAGATTAAAAGTGAAATATTTGTAAAGCAGCCTCTAAATGTGTCCATTAATCAATAAGGAGATGAAATAACCTTTGACCTCAAAGGATATGAAGCAGAGCCTGTTTTTGTTCCTGTTTATCAAAACAAAGGAATGAAAATTAGAGGATGAAATATTTTCTCAGCAGTGGGATCAGTTCAGCAGCTTCAGACATCGTTAACATCGTCCTGCAGGTGAATTAAAGCTAAATATTTACTCTGAAAAGCGACGCAGCGGTTCCACCTGGTTCTGGTTAGTCTGACAGCAGGACAGGTTCCACTCTCTATTCACACTGTTCTAAGAGGTCAGAGGTCAGGTTAGGACGTCTAACTGATTCTCTGATGCTCCAATCATTTTTCTCAGACTTCTGTTAGCGGTTCTGCTCAGAGAATCTGCTTCCTTGAGAACCTGCACCTGTTGGAGCAGAACCGCTAAGAGAGAACCAGAAGAGCTGGAACCGAATCGGAAAGCCTGGAACTGAATCATAACTACGGTGGCCCTGAAGTGCAAACTGCAACTACAATTCTAAAAGCGCAACTACATTAAGGAAATCGCAACTACATAAAGCAAAGCGCAACTACATTAAGGAAATCGCAACTACATAAAGCAAAGCGCAACTACATTAAGGAAATTACAACTACATAAAGCAAAGCGCAACTACATTAGGGAAATCGCAACTACATAAAGCAAAGCGCAACTACATTAAGGAAATCGCAACTACATAAAGCAAAGCGCAACTACATTAAGGAAATCACAACTACATAAAGCAAAGCACAACTAAATTAAGGAAATCACAACTACATAAAGC